AGAGACCAGCTATTGCACTTCCAGCACTGCTGCCCAGCTCACTGCGCTCCCCCTCCCTTTCTGCATGACGCTCTATTTAATCGCCATGCACCTGCCCGACCGCCTCGCTAGTGCTCGCGATCACTTTCTTAGCCAGCACCCAGGTGACCTCACCCTCACCGCCTTTGTCGACACCCTCACCGAGATCGAGACTCGCCAGCGCACTATCGCTCAGTCGAGCGGTGCGCCGGCAGTCTCTATCTTTCACAACTGTGCCCCCTCCCAGTGCACGTTCACTGACGTTTCGGCTGCGGTCGCCACGGCGACCCCTCTCACCGAGACGGCTGCTGCGGTCCACCCGCAGCAGCGCTCGCGCCGCGGTGGCTGTGGTCGCCAGGGAGGTAGGGGTGGTGGCGCAGGTGGTCGTGGTGGTGGTGGTCGTCGTGACGGTAGTCCGCCTGAGGGGACTACCACCGGTGGGCAGGAGCAGCCTCCCCAGCTGCAACAGGAGCAGCCCCAGCCGCAGCCGCCGTCTCAGTAGCAGCAGCCGTCCCAGCAGCAGTCGCCGCAGTCGTGGGCCCGTCTCCCGCCTGGTTGGCCCGGCACCTCCGGAGGTAGTGGCCGTGGTGGCGGCCCGTGTAGCTCGGTGTCTACCAGCGGCTCCGGTGCTGTCACTTGCCAGTACCAGCTTCGGACCGGACCTCTTCGCGGCACTCTGTGCCGCCGCCCGCACCCGACCGCCCGCTGTTTCCGCCGCTTTGACGATCTCTTTCGTCGTCGCTTTGGCTCGGCCCCGGACCTCCCCGACTGGCACAGCCTGCTCCGCCAGGGCGTGCCGATCTTTGAGTTAGACATGGATCAGATAGGTGCTGCTTTGCATGCCTTGTATTCTGACGCTTCTAGTGTTGCTGGATCTTATTACCCTGTGTACTCTAGTTTAGGTGTTGCACCGTTCTCTAGCTTAGCCTCCCCTGCTGCGTCAGGCGTAGGACTGCCTAGTTTGCCCAGCCTAGTCTCTGCACCAGCTCCGTTCCCGGCCTCCGCCACTGCTTCGTTGTCCTTCACTCTCGACTCCGGTGCTTCTGCCTGCTTCCGCGACCGTTCCGCGCTTACGCCGCTTGCTACACCTGCTGTTGTCTCTCTCGCAGACCCCTCTGCGGGTCCTGTCGTCGCTCGCAGTTCTACGTCCCTTCCCTGTCCAGCAGTTCCCTCGGGCTCCCTTATAGGCCTCCACATTCCCTCATTCTCGCGGAACCTGGTTGGTGTCGGCTGTCTCCAGGACCTCGGCGTCACCACCTCGTTCCCCGGGCACGAGCGGTTCGCTGTCTGTTCTGAGGCTGTCTCAGGTTCCCCCCTTGCGACGTTCCCCCGTGACCCGGTGTCCGGTCTGTTTACCCTCGACACCGCTTCCCCCCCGGTTGGTGCGTCCTCCCAGGTCGCTGCAGCTTGCTCGTGTCGGTCCCGTACTCACCCGTCCCTTCTCTGGCACCACCGCCTAGGTCACCCTGCTCTCCCCCGCCTGCGTCACATGTCCCAGCACGGCCTTGTCTTAGGTCTCCCCGCATCGCTCCCCTCCCTTCCTCCCTCGACTGCGCCACCGTGCACGCCTTGCATCGAGGGCCGGCTCCGCCGTGCTCCTCACTCCTCCTCGCTGCGCTACGCTGTTCGCCAGCCGGTCACTGTTCGCTACACTGCTCACCAGCTTAACTTGTGGCCACGCTCCCAGCGGCCGCAGGTTTCGCCGACCCTCCTTTGGACCGGGTCCCCCAGTGATGCGTCTGCATTCCACGTCTGGGGCTGCCTTGCTCACGTTCGTGCCTCTGGCACGGACAAGCTCACTGCTTGCACTGTCCCCTGTGTCTTCCTCGGTTCCCCCCTCGACTCGTCTGACTGGCTTTTCTACCACCCGCCGTCTCACCGCTTCCTCCACTCTCGTGACGTCACCTTTGACAAGTCTGTCTCCTTCTACCGCCGCTTCTCTCACCGAGGTCTCCCGGTTGCCCCGCCCCTGTTCCTTGCTCCCTCTTCCCCGGTAGCCCCTGCTCCTCTCCCGCCTCGCCCTGCCCCGTCTGGTGTCTCTCACATCACTCCCCTCCCGTCGGTTGTCCCCGTTGAGGAGTCTGCTGACTCTGGTGGTACCCCCGGCCCGTCCTTGCCCTGTCCCCCTTCCCTGGTGTCTTCGCCTCCACTGTCGCAATCGCCGCCTCCGCCGCAGCCACCGCAGCCGTCGCCGCTGCTGCGGCTGCCGCTGCCGTCGCCGCCGCTCGTGGCCCCTGGGGGTACTGGTGTGGAGGAGGGTGTTCGTCCTGCGGCCCCTGGGGGTGCCGCTGGTGTTGGAGAGGGTTCTCGCTCTGGGGGTGTTGGTTCTGGGGGTGCTGCTGTTGAGGGTTCCGCCGACAGTCGTCCTGCCTCTGCCGGTCCGAGGGTTCCGGCCCAGCCGTCGCCCCCACCGCAGCAGCCGTAGCCGCCGGTCTCCGCTCTCCGCCTGCTCCGCCTTCCCTCCCCAGACCGCTCGCCGGTGTCTCCCCCACCGCCTGCTGACCTTCCTGTCTACGGTCATGTGTTCCCGCCGCCAGACTCGTCTCCGGCCCGTCTTCCTCCTCGTTCCTCCTCCTTTCTCTGACTACCTCCATGCTGCTCGTCCCCTTGTCCATCGGGTTCTTGCCTCGCTTGTTACCGACCCTTCTGTTCCTGTCTCGCGCCTTGACGCGCTTGTCGCTGCTGTCGCTGACTTCGCCTCTACCCGCCGCCTTGACTACGCTACCGCTCTGGTCTCTGACCCTGCCCGTCCTCCGTCCGTCGGGGTTGCTCCTGCCCTTGGCAGTGACGTCCTAGAGGACAGGCAGTACGAGCTTGCTTTCCTTTCTGAGGCTGCTCCCCATCTCTGCTCCGTGCTGTTAGTTCCTGAGGGTGACCCAGACGCCTTCGACATCCCGGCCCCTCGCACCTACGCTGAGGCCACCTCGGGACCTTGGGCCTCTCAGTGGATAGCTGTCATGGAGCAGGAGATGGCATCTTGGAGGTCCACCGGCACTTACGTCGACGCAGTTCCCCCGCCTTGGGTGAACGTAGTCGATGGTCGATGGCTCTTCAAGGTGAAGCGCCCCTATGGAGAGCCGCCTGTCTTCAAGGCGCGCTACGTGGCCAGAGGTTTCAGTCAGCGCGAGGGGGTTGACTTCTTCCAGACCTTCGCCCCGACCCCGAAGATGACCACTCTTCGGGCGCTGCTACACGTAGCAGCACAGCGCGACTACGAGCTTCACTCCCTCGACTTCTCTACTGCCTTTCTTCAGGGCAGCCTACATGAGCAGGTCTACCTGCGCCGACCACAGGGCTTTATTCGTACCTCCCCCCCTGGGACCCAGTGGCTTCTCAGGTGCCCGGTCTACGGCCCGCGTCAGGCTCCCAGCGAGTGGTACGACACATTGCGTGCCACGTTAGTAGACCTGCAGTTCTTTCCGTCCTCTGCTGACCCCTCACTGTTTGTGTGTTCTGGCCAGAATCCGCTCTACATCCTTGTCTACGTAGACGACATGGTCTTCGCTACTGCTGACAGGGACGCACTGGCCTCTGTGAAGGCCGAGCTGCTGAAGAGACACACCTGCACTGACCTTGGAGAGCTGCGTCGCTATCTTGGCCTGCAGATCTCTAGGGACAGAGCAGCACGCACCATCACTTTGACACAGTCACACTTGGTGCGTCAGGTCCTTCAGAGGTTCGGTCTTCAGTTCTTCTCCGCACAGCCCACACCTCTACCTGTAGACCATGGGCTCTCTGCTCCCATTCCTGAGGAGCCAGTAGAGCCCAGTGGCCCCTACGCAGAGCTGGTGGGCTGCCTCATGTACCTGATGACTTGCACTCGCCCAGATCTCGCATACCCTCTCAGCATCCTGGCTCGCTTTGTGGCCACAGGCAGACACCGACCTCAGCACTGATTTGCCGCTAAGAGGGTTTTGCGTTATCTTGCAAGTACATCAAGCATGGGGTTAGTGCTAGGAGGACGCAGGCCAGTGGTCCTTACTGGGCACACTGACGCTTCTTGGGCAGACGACTCTGAGACGCTTAGGTCGTCGCATGACTACTGTTTTAGCCTTGGTTCGGGTGCTATCTCTTGGAGATCCACTCGCTCGTTGTCTGTGGCTCAGTCCAGCTGTGAGGCTGAGATCTACGCTGGTGCCATGGCGGCACAGGAGCTCCGCTGGCTGACCTTCTTGCTCACAGACTTAGGTGAGCGGCCTAGCTCTGCCCCGGTCCTGTACGCTGACAACAGGGTCATGATACTCCTGTGTCAGGAGCCTCGGCTTGAGGGCAGAGCGAAGCATATCCAGCTGCGGTACTTCCTCCTACGCGAGCTACAGCAGCGCCGCCAGGCCCGCATAGTTCACTTGGCCTCAGGTGCCAACACAGCTGATATCTTTACTAAGGCGCTTGCGCCTAAAGATCATCAGGGGCACTGTGTACAGCTTGGTCTTATTCCTGTAGCTACTCACTTGTTAGGATCCTGATTGTGTACTCTCTATTGTATATGCCTGTCAGACTGGCCTTGTGGCCTTACCTCCAGTGGCTGGACTAGTAGTGCCGCCCTGGCTTGGTTTAGTCTTGTTTGTACTCTTGCTGACTGGTCTCCAGACCCCTGCCTCAGTGGTTGGACTAGTAGTGCCACCCTGAGCTGTTTGCTTCTTGCTTAGCTTCACCCCTTGTCTAGCCTAGGGGGTGTGTCAACTTATACATATTAGTTATGTAGAAGTTATAGGGTAGACTGAGGTATGCTTCTAGTGAGTACAACCAACTAGTATTTGTTCTAGGTTTCTCCTTCTAGTTCAACATTCAGTTCTTCCTTTAACAGAAACTGCTGGTTTACCCTACTGGTAGTAGTGGTACGGTTGGGGCAAAGCCCATGGGGCTGAATTGCAGCAGCATTTCTCAGAAAGGGGGGGAATCCAGCACCAGTGTACCTAGGAGCAGCATGTGTGAAAACTCGAATCTCCACACGGAGTATTTCGTATCTGGCAGGTTGTGTT